TTGCGCGCCACTATTAATGTCTTGTACATGGCAACACTAGTTACACTAGCGCCCCCTAGTGTCGAGTAAATGAAAGTGTTGCGCGCCACTATTAATGTCTTGTACATGGCAACACTAGTTACACTAGCTCCCTCTAGTGTCGAGTAGCAGAACTAGGAGAGTCGAGATCCTTCCAGAAATTTCGGGACCGATATGTACTCGAACATTCTAGATGTCGCTACAGTAGAAGGTTCTGGAAACTATCTGAGGCCCTATATAAGGCCGGTATAGACCACGACCGGGGCAGTATTGAATTGGCGATACAAGAGAATACTTCGAAGCGAAATAACGGCGAACTGTGTTTTATTATTAGTGTGATTTGAGATTGTAATTAGTGTTGTGTAATTAAAGTGTCAATTTTGGTAATTCAATCGGCAGTTTTTAATTGTCTCGAACCCCAAGCTCGTAACAATTGGTGTCAGAAGTGGGATCGAATATGCCGATTTTACCTAAAGACGACACCGAGGGTATCCGTACCCGAAGTCAACGCCAACAGGAGACGGACCAGAGACGATTTGGTGGTGCAACGTCACAGACGTCGGCAGGCCAGTTGCCGACCACGGAGTCCGGCCCGTCAGCAGCTCCTGCATCTGCAGCACCTGACTTAGGTACTCTGATGATGATGCTGCAGGAACAAGCTCGCCGACAGGAGGAACAGGCCCGCCGACAGGAGGAACAGGCTTGTCGGTTGGAAGAGCAGCTGCAGCGCGGACAGGAGGAATAAGCCCGCCAACAGGAGGAACAGGGCCGTCGGTTGGAAGAGCAGCTCAAACGCGATAAGGAAGAGCAGATACTTCTCATGAAGGACCTTCACGCTACCTTCGGGAAAGAAATAAGTGAGGTGAAGGATAAGGTTGCTCAATATGACAACCGCCTGTCGGAAGCTGAAACCCGAATCGACCAAGTGTACAATCGGGTTGACAATGTGATGGCTGACGTGAAGAAAACGCTGAACGACCTCAAAATTGGGGATGGAGTTACAGCTCCCGTGGTAGCTACAACACCTTCGCTACGTGGATTCAAAGTGCCACCGTTCGATGGGACTTCCTCCTGGTCGGCCTACAAAATCCAGTTCGAGGCTGTCATGAAAGCGAACGGCTGGAATAAAAGTCAGGCCATGTCTGCTCTCACCCTAGGCCTGCGCGACCAGGCCTTAACTGTTCTGGAAGCTCTCGGTAAGGAAGTGACTTACGAGCAGCTCCTTGAGGCATTGGAGGCGAGATATGGCGACGCTCACCTGGAACATGTCTTTCGTGCGCAACTCAAAGATCGCGTGCAACGCAGTAACGAAAACCTGCAGCAGTGGGCCCTTGAGGTGGAGAAGCTGGTTCGAAAAGCGTACCAATCTGTACCTGCGCTTATTGTAGGGAACCTGGTGCAGACATTCATCGACGGCATCCGCGACCTTGAAGTCAGAGCTGCTGTGAGGCTCGGGCACCACGAGACGCTTAAGGACGCCTTGACCCATGCACTGGAGGTAGAAGCCGTGCGGCAGGATCATCGTTCCCACCGCGTCAGGGAGGTTGCAGCAGCTACAGTTCAGGACCGCAATAAAAGCTACAGCCCTAGGTGCTACGGCTGTGGGGAAAGGGGTCATCTTCGATCCAGCTGCCCTAAGCGAACTGTAGAAAGGGAAGGTGATCGATCTCGAGAGGGTAGTGCGGCTAATAGCACCGCCCAGCAGCAGCAGGGAAACGAGTAAAAGCCAGGACTGCGGGGCGGGTGCTGGCTGATGTTAAAAGAGCCCCAAGGATTTCGATCTCACAAACCCATGATGGGAACAGCCTAATCATCAAGGGCGAAGTCAACGGAACGCCGTGTAAACTGACCATAGACACTGGAGCCTCTCGCACGGTTGTCAGTTCCCAACTTATAAGTCGGTTCCTTGGGGACTCCGCATACAACCGAGAACGCATTAATTTGGTGACAGCAACTGGTCAGCGCATACCCGTCCGTGGAGAGAAGGAGATGGAGTTGAAGCTAGGCAACATGATCTACCTGCATAATGTCATCGTGGCTGATATAATGGACGACTGCATCCTGGGCCTAGACTTTATGAGGAAGAATTGTTGTGAGATCGACGTTAAGCAAGGTGTTTTGAAATGTGGACAAGAGGAACTTTTCATGGAAGGGGCGTTACCAGGGAATGTGTACAGCCTTAAGAAGATTGTTCTTCCGCCGAGATCGGAAACGATTGTGCCGGTTAGTCTTCCTCGGAGTCCTGGGCAAGCTCATCGTTGTGTACTCGTGGAAAGGGTAGACAATGACCTTCCATGGAAAGTGGTTCGAACCTTGGTCAGAACCACCGACATCTCAGGAGTACGTGTGTTGAACCTTTGTGATCAGGAACAGATTATAGAAAAAGGCACATTGGTTGGTATTAGTGAGGAAGTGGATTGGTTGCGTCGGTGCGAATATCTATCGACCGGGACCCCTAGCAAGGATGGACAAACGAGAGTGACCACACTTTTAGAAGACTGTCGCAGCGTTCTCTCCCCGAATGAAATGGTCAAGGCGAAGAAGTTGTTACTCAAGTACGCCAATGTTTTCTCGTCAAACGAAGCTGACATAGGAAAGACTGGCTTAGTTCAACACAAAATAAACACAGGACAAGAATTGCCTATTCGTCAGCGGCCAAGAAGATTGCCTGTAGCACGTGAAAAGGAAGTGGAAACCATGATTGAGGGTATGGTGAAGGATGGTGTTATTGAACCTTCATCTAGTCCATGGTGTTCACCTGTGGTGCTGGTAAAGAAGAAGGACGGCAGCATGCGGTTTTATGTTGACTACCGCCGCCTGAACGACGTTACGAAGAAGGACAGCTATCCCTTGCCTAGAATTGATGACACGCTGGACATGCTCACAGGCGTAAAGTGGTTTAGTACGCTGGACCTGAAAAGTGGCTACTGGCAGGTTGAAATTGACCCTAAGGACAAGGAGAAAACTGCATTCTCCACAGGAAAGGGTCTGTGGCAATTTAAAGTCATGCCGTTTGGATTGTGCAATGCTCCAGCAACGTTTGAAAGATTGATGGAGCTTGTACTTACCGGGCTAATTGGAGATGCCTGTCTGGTCTATTTGGATGACATCATCATCGTAGGCCGTACGTTTGAAGAAAACCTTCAAAACCTGGAACGCGTGCTCATGAAGATCCAGAGTGCCAATCTCAAGTTGAGTCCAAAGAAGTGCTCACTATTCAAACGGCAAGTTAGTTTTTTGGGGTATGTAGTGTCGGAAGAAGGTATCCGCACGGATCCAGAAAAAATTGCCGCTGTCAAGGAGGGGCCGGTTCCAAAAGACAAGACACAGGTTAGAGCATTTTTGGGTTTGTGCTCTTATTATCGGCGATTTGTGAAGAACTTTGCAGATATAGCCAAACCTCTGCACAAGCTAACCGAGGAGAAGCGACAATTCTGCTGGGATGAAAGTTGCGATATTGCATTCCAGGAGCTCAAGAACCGTCTGTGCAATACACCTATTTTGGGGTACCCTGATGCGGGCAAGGAATTCATAGTTGACACAGACGCAAGTGATATAGGACTTGGCGGTGTGTTGTCTCAACGGAATGGTGATCAAGAGATTGTGATAGCGTACTTCAGCAAGTCGTTGTCAAAGCCGGAAAGGAACTATTGTGTCACAAGACGGGAATTGCTTGCTGTGGTAAAGTCCTTGCAGCATTTTAGCAAATATCTTCTAGGGCGGAAATTCCACTTACGAACTGACCATGCTGCACTCAAATGGCTATTGCAGTTCAAAAATCCGGAAGGACAAGTTGCGAGATGGATTGAACTACTGCAGGAATACGACTTTGTGATCGAACATCGCAGCGGGAAATCTCATGGCAATGCAAATGCATTGTCAAGAAGACCTTGCCCTGAAGATTGCAAGCATTGTACTAGGCAAGAGGGTAAGGAAGTGGTATCTGTGAGAATGCTCAGGACAGACCAGCTCAGCAATGAGTGGAAGGACAGCCTACAACATGCACAGCAGGAAGATTCGGACATTAAGCCGATTCTGGAATGGATGAAGGCCAGTGCTCCTAAGCCCAAGTGGAGCGACGTCTCAGCAATGAGTTCGACCACGAAAAGCTATTGGGCCCAATGGGACAGCTTGCTGATTCAGGATGGAGTCCTGTGCCGTAAATGGGAAAATGGTCGGGGAGACAGATGTCATTTGCAAATGGTTGTCCCTAAGGCTAAAGTACCGGATGTTCTACAACTGTACCATAGTAGTTCTTCAGGAGGCCACCTGGGAGTTAAACGAACTCTCCTGAAGATCCGAGAACGGTTTTACTGGGTCCACTGTCGTGACGATGTCGAGGACTGGTGCCGCAAATGTACAAGTTGTGCGGCTGTAAAGGGACCTCAAATTCGTAGTAGAGGCGCATTGAAATTGTACAATGTTGGTGCACCATGGGAGAGGATAGCCATTGACGTTGCGGGGCCGTTTCCGGAAAGTGAAAGTGGTAACAAGTATTTCATGGTTGTGATGGATTACTTCACTAAGTGGCCAGAAGTCTTCGCCATTCCAAATCAAGAAGCTTCAACAGTTGCAGATAAACTAGTTCATGAAGTCTTCTGTCGTTTTGGAGTACCTTTAGAGATTCACAGCGATCAAGGAAGGAATTTCGAGTCTCAAATATTCCAGGAAACTTGCAGAGTTATGGGTACTCATAAAACACGAACAACTTCTTACCACCCACAATCTGATGGAATGGTAGAACGATTTAATCAGACATTGGAAAGGTACCTGGCAAAAGTTGTGGAAAAACGGCAACGAGAGTGGGACAGGCACATACAACCGTTTTGTCATATCGAAGCGCTGTTCACGAAAGTACATCAGTGACACCAGCTTTCGCAAACTTTGGGAGAGAATTGCGGCTGCCTGCAGACCTGATCACCGGAATACCACCTGATGCCCCACGCAGTATAACCGATTATGCAAATGACTTGCGGAACAAAATGAATGACATTTATGAGCACGTCAGACAGACGGGCCAGCAAACGTCTGAGAAGATGAAAACACGGTATGACCGCAAAATGAACAACACGGGGTTTGATGAAGGTTCACTAGTGTGGTTACACAATCCAGTTCGCAGCAAAGGGAAATCTCCTAAGCTTCAAGCTAAATGGGACGGACCGTACCGGATTGTGACAAGGATCAATGATGTAACCTACCGCATACAGAAAGGTGCCAGAGGTACTCCTAAGATTGTCCATGTGGATCGACTGGCGCGTTATTATGGGGCCAATAATGCTCGGGACGAGCATGTCTTAGGAGGGGGCAGTGTTGCGCGCCACTATTAATGTCTTGTACATGGCAACACTAGTTACACTAGCGCCCCCTAGTGTCGAGTAAATGAAAGTGTTGCGCGCCACTATTAATGTCTTGTACATGGCAACACTAGTTACACTAGCGCCCTCTAGTGTCGAGTAGCAGAACTAGGAGAGTCGAGATCCTTCCAGAAATTTCGGGACCGATATGTACTCGAACATTCTAGATGTCGCTACAGTAGAAGGTTCTGGAAACTATCTGAGGCCCTATATAAGGCCGGTATAGACCACGACCGGGGCAGTATTGAATTGGCGATACAAGAGAATACTTCGAAGCGAAATAACGGCGAACTGTGTTTTATTATTAGTGATTTGAGATTGTAATTAGTGTTGTGTAATTAAAGTGTCAATTTTGGTAATTCAATCGGCAGTTTTTAATTGTCTCGAACCCCAAGCTCGTAACAATATGTATGCCTTTTCATTGAGTTCAAAGCTGCAAGGTATCACATTTTTTTTTTATGAAAGACTGATGATCTCATTTTTGAAGTTATATTTCTTTTGGGGCGTTTGGGAAAAATTATGAGAGTGAATTTTTTACGACACCTAAAAACGACACCATGAAGTTGTTACGATGCGTGCGTACACTGACACCTAAAAGCGACAACTTCAGTGGGTTGTCTCTCAAGTTTTCGTTATTAATATATTATACACCAAGGCCTCATGAACTATAATGCTAAAATCAACTTGGACAGTTATCAAAACGGTTGGTCATGCTGTATCGATATTTATATCGTGAATTCGCCTTTTTAAACAATATTGATTTCTATAGCGAATTATAATAAAAACTTATCATTACAGATGAATAATAAAGAAATATAATGAGTTATAAGAAGTTAAAAGAAGTTATTTAGGTGGAGGTAAATCAAAGAACATTTGTTTTATGAATTTTTCGTTTGCAAAAAAATAAATTTTTTTGGGATAAAATATAGTCTTGTAACTCCTGGCATTGCTCTGTGTCTGTTCGTGAAGTTTCTTTACAACAGAAGAGAAACAAGCCATTCCGAAGATTAGCACAGATAGTCTTTCAAAATTGTTATTATGTCTTACTCGCTTGCAAATAATCTCCTTAGTTCAATATAAGGCAGTTATTTCAATATTATGGACGGGTACTTCAATTTTATATACATGTATATATAACTGGATATATTTCATGTAAAACAAATCAAAGAAGCTTGTACTTACTGTAGAGGTTGAAAGTGATAGAGTAAAGGATAACTAGTCGCGACGTCGGTCGTTTACTCGACGGTAACCGTTGTCGCTCCGATCACAAATTTCACGTTGGTAGAGTGCCCTTATATCTAGTTATTGGGCGTTAGTAGCCTGATTTAGGGGTTTTAATAAGTTAAAGATAATATGTAAAGTTATTCAATGAAGTTTAATACTCATCCAATAGGTATCATTCCAATTTTGTAACTGCCAGAGTTTTTACAATTTGGCGGTTAATATCTTTTGTCAATCCGTAAGAGAATCCACTACCCTATATCATCAGATCGGTGGCGTAAGAGGCGACAGAGGGAAACTGAACCTGAAAATGGGCAGCAGCGTCTTCCTAATAAGAATTAAAATTAAAATAAACATGTGTGCAGTTCACACGCGGTAAAGTGAAATCTTTAGAAAACTACACTTCGAGAGAATGAGACGAATGCAGATAATTGTAGGGTTTGTTTATTATAATATTGTTATGAACTTTAAAAATTATTTTACATTTTATTATACATATTATATTACCTTTAACAGACTCCAAATTTTGAATTTAATCGTCGTAAGTACTTAAATATTCTAATCAACAAATTTCGTCCCTAACCCCGTATTGCTTATAGATCACATGCATAATCTCCATCTAATATAATAAATAGGAGAAACACTGTGTACTGTATTCTATCTCACTCTCCCGCAGGCTAAATCCTATACATGTGTTTGTCTCTTTTTAGTGTTGCTTTTTCGTTTCATCTAGTTTCAAATCACAACGATGCTAAAGAATCTTGGTAACAATGGTATAATTCTCCCTATGAGGCAGTCTAAGGGGGAGGTGTATAATCAGCAGTGGACTTTTGATAGGCGGTATAATAATCGTATAATGTTTATATATAAAAATTACGTGTCACGTTGTTTGTCCGCGATGGACTCCTAAGCTACTGAACTGTTTTCAATGAAATTTTACACACTGTGTGCATTTTGGTCCAACTTGAGAGATAGGATAGTTGTTATCCCGATAAATGATTCTCAAAAATTTTTATTGCGAATTTAAGGATATTATATCAACAATTCTCAATCAACAAGTATATTTATGATTTGCGTAAAAATACTAATATTATAACTTGTACTAAACTAAGATTGTTTTTATTAACTTAGTTGCAATATACATACAAATATTGTTATTCATTCCCCGCTTTATTTTTTTTAATACCATTACAGCTAACTTATTTGTATCGAAATTTAAAAATATATTCCTTGCGAAAAAAATAAAGATACTTTACTGAATTAAGCGCTATCTTCTGTATGAAACAGAAAACATTTCCCTTGAAAGCCTCCCGCAGTTTGCATCCCGGCATCTGTTGGCGGTTGCGGGAATACGGAAAGCTCCTGTCCGCACCCCCCTCCATACCCCTTCGTTCTTACCCCTCTAAAAGCCTATCGATCGACCTTACAGGCACTAAACAACTTACGCTAACCGAAGAACACTGCCACATTTGTGAAAATTTTAAAATATCTGCAAATTCTAGCGCAATCTGGCTTGATAAATAAACACGCTCTATACTCGCTGTCTAAAGCCTCTATCGAAAAGAATAGGAAAAGGTGAGTGACCTATTATCTTTCTTCCATTCAAACTACGTTTTCATTGATGATGACGTGGCCATAATCCCGGTTTTCCATCTGATCATTTATTGTGCGTTCGTGTTGTTATCTCTTATAGTAGCGTTACTAAGCTATTGTATGAGCCTGTGATTACAGACGGTTATTTATATTTTGATGCAGTCGAAACATTTTAGCGGCGATGCGTTATTGACGTCATTATGAACATTCTGGAAATAGGTCGCGGTAAACGTAACGTTTTTCGTTTGTTTTTCATGTATATATCATATATCTATGTAGCTATAAGTTAAAAAACATGAAAGGAGATTTTATAACTGCGTAATTTTATGTACAAAATGTGACGTCATTTGGGTTATTGGGTTTAAGATATCATCAACAACCATTTTTTTTATTTTTTTTCTATTTTACAAAAAAGTCCTGACATTGCTCTTTACCGGTTCGTGAAGTTTGATCACACAATCGGTTCAGCCATTCCGAAAATTAGCTTTGACTGACAGATTGACAGACAGACGGACAGACAGCCAAAAAAAAATAGATATTCATGTCATAATGGCATGCAAATAACCCCTTCAGCTCAATAAAAGGCAGTTACTCGATATTACCTGTCAGGCCGAAGGATCAATTTGTTAACCGACTTCAAAAAGGAGGAGGTACTCAATTCGACTGTATTTTCCCTCTTTTAATGTGTGCTACGTCATAACTTTTTTATTTATTAAGGATAACTCAAAAACTACTGATCAGACCTTGATCGAAATTTTTGGGACCACATGAGGAGCACCACAGCTTTTATTTAAAAAAAGAATCATCAAAATCCGGTTCATCTAGAAAAACATACAGAGGTAACACACATTGGAATTGAGAACCTCTTTATTTTTTTGAAGTCGGTTAAAAAAGGAAGGAAGTAGGTTACAGAAACACGAATGTTGCTACATAATAGGTATATAACAAAAAACATTGTTCCGTTTTATGTACGAGAATCGTACACAGACACCAACTTTATTTGTACCTATAGTAAAGATTTTAATTGTGCTATGCATTTACTAAAATATAAAATTAAAGTGTTTTTATTTTCGATTTTAAATCCTGTAAACATTACTAACTACGACCTAATTACTCAACTCTAAATGGCGTATGTTGTCAACTTTTTCTCTAAATGCGCATCTCACATTCCCGCGGTGTATCCTACTAATTGACGGGCGAGGTTCTCACTGCTTATGGTGAAAAATCCACTCAAAAACGTTGAAACCAGATAGCACAGATTAAGAAGTGGGGCGAAGCAGCATTATTAAACGCGAGGGTATCGGCTCTGCGCTAATCAACTCGGGTGCCCAGTGTGGTGGAATTAGACATTTTTTTTAATAACATCCCTATCGGTTTTCAGTTCTTGGAGCTACATGACTGGCCCATTGACACTTCACCTTATATTGGGCTGTCAGTTACTCTGGTTTGATGTTGTACACAACTAAATTATCGTTCTGATGTGAGAAGTTGAAACCTCAGTTGAATGGGAATTTGAATTTGATATTTTAAAGGTTGCAAGTAATAAAAGGATTTATTTTCTCATTTTCATGTATTTTGTCTTGATCAATTCCAGGACGGTGGTGCCAGCGCGCAGCCGACGGAGGTCACGGTCCACATCCAACACGACGGTCCTCTAGCCTCCGACCGCGACGTCTTCATCGACGATGATGGTTCGGGTCTAGGCATCGACGAGAGCTCGGGCTCCGGCTGGGGGCCAGGCCCTGGCCCCGACGACGAGGACGGTCGAGGATCAGGTGACGCCCCGGACGCGCCCGAAGATGACGAAGACTACGCACCGTTGCGAACCACTGCCGCCCCTACCACGCCCGCGCCGGAATCAGACTATCCGGAGGTCCCGGAAATGCCGGACAACACAGTCTTACCGGACTCCGACAATCCAATCCCACCACCAAAAGTCCAGCAGCCCGATTTAGTCAGTCGTGAGTAGAGGCTGGAGCATGCCAGTTTTGTTGCGTTAGACATTATTAGATGTATTTAATTATTTTTTGGAACATGAACTCGTGAGCCTTCTATATCTTAGTTTATTTTAAACTAGAGATTAACTCTAAAAAAATAATTGATTGTTAAAACAAAGTGTGAAAAAGGATCAGCGACTCAATGATTTCATGTTCGATGGGCATAACTCTAAAAGAGTTATTTCCATTCATCCATATACAATTCTTACCAAATTACATCAAAACTTCAGCTATTTCAAATAATACCGTATCGTGCAAGAATGTTTCAACCAACAAAAAAAAGCTATTCAGATGTAAAAGATAAATACATTTTTCTTGTGACAGAAGCCCTATTAAATCATGTTATGTATATAATTTTTAAGGAAAATTTTATGTAGATTTTGGGATTACTTGGTAATTTTCAGAAGTCTTTTATACTTTGAAATAAAGTGTAATGGACCATTGAACACTGGGTTGGTTCGGCTCATTTCTGCACGGTACGGTTCAATTATGACAGTTTCGTTCAAATAATTGAAAATCAAACAACTGACGAGTTTATTTAATTTTGCAGAGCTTAATATAATTAAGCAACCCATTATTTTAATATGCCATTTTCCTACTATATTTTGGTGTAGTTTGAGTTGAGAATCTAACACATTCTATATCGCCTTAAAATGTTTAAGTATTAAATTAAATAAAGTTTTGATATTTAGAGACAAAAATTCAAATCTTTAATCATCTGTAGACGGCTCAATAGCGCAGTGGTTGCGTTAGGTTTCCGCGCTACGGGCCGCGGGTTTGATTTACGCAAAGAAAAAGTATACGAGTATGTGTGGATTACAAAAAATTGTAAGATTCCACGCTACTAACGAAATTTCTAGTGTAAGTATATTTTTTAAACGAAAATAAAAACAGCTTTATTATCAGATATACTAACTACTGATATTAAGCAATATCTTTAATTTTCATTACATCTTAAAAGCGCTACCCTTAATGACGGCTTCCACAACTTTTTTGTCACCAGGGCGGCTCCACTTTGCAATAACGTAAAATATTTGACAGATTTTATGGTTTATATAACAATTAATATTTAGAATTAGTTATATTTTACAACAATTAGAATTAGATAATAGATAAACCAAACTACGCATATACCTAAAAGTTAAAAAAAATAAAAATATTTAAAAAATGTACAAAAAATTAAAGATATGCTCTTTAATTTTTTACCTGAGGCCACTACATTTTGTTTTTAACTGAGGCCTCTGAGGCATTATTTAGTACATTCAGTAGAAAGTGAAAAACTTCCACTTGAAACGGAAATATTCAATGATGTGGCACTGACACTGCGTGACAAATAACTTCACCTCACTCCCAACTAGCGACATCTGGTGAGCCGAAAATTGTTAGATCTCCTTGAGCAAAATTGTACCCGCGGCCAAGCGCTCAGCCACTGCGCAGTCGAAACGCCAATTGAATTGCATTATTAACTAATAATTGTGTGAAACATGGCAGGCCGCAATACAAACAATGCTTGCTGATGATGTAATACCAAATTAACCTTAATATTTATCCACCATGAATCAACAAGTAACTTGAATTATGTTCCGTTAATTAAAAACCTTAGTTTCCTTATAAGCGTGTAATAAAGTGGGTGTGACGGAAACGAACCAATAGAAATTGGATATTATATTAAATTTAATTCTGCTTATTTGTTCAACAAAATTCTTATATGTATCTAATCGACATCGGCGAAGGAATTCGGTAAGTTACGACAGTTTATACTCCGTACAAATACTTCATGGATTTTCTTTAGACATCTTGCATGACCCCATTACAATGACAATCGTGCAAACAGCTACTTCTACCCCATTAGTTTACTTCCACCATTGTTCATAGTATATACCAACCTAGCATGAATTTAAGCCAAGCTATAGTTTTGATATCATTACATTAGCTTTGTCGTAGTCAATGTACTCCCGTCAATGTATTTCCTAGTATAGTTTATTGGATTTTTTTTTTAATTTATTTGACTTAATGTCCTTATACTCCAACTATCCCTAAAATATTCCGGGACCAAATATCACTACAATCCTGAAAAATCATTGTTATTAGTCTTCGTCGTCGAAATATTAATACTAAATATTTTATTAATGAATTTTAATTTAACATTTTTTCCCTACTAATTATTCTACGATCTTATAGATAGAGCGTCTATTTCATTTGATAAATATATCAATTTACCACACACAAATTTAAAAAACTCAGCACCTATTTGATACTGTTTTAATTAATTAATGTAGGTATTTCTAACCAAAGCCGTCTATTTTCAACACTAATCGATTTTTCTATTATACAATTACAGCTCGCGTGCTAAAGGGTCAGGAAGCAGGAGAGGGCACAGGAGAGACGCACGGCGCGGGGGAGGAGCAACCCTCGCGCCCAGATCTGACCGACATCAGCATATCAGGGGAAGACCTCAGTCCGGACATCGTTAGTATTTCGTATCAAATAGTCTGAATTAATATAAGGGAAAAATTGTCAGGGAACGCATTTAAAATATTTTCAAAAAATGTTTAAATATTAGGATACCACTTGGAACATGAATATACTAATTAGCAAAAAAATACATAAACGTAAAGACGTACCACGTAAATCTACTCTGGAAATGGTATTGAATAATAATAATTATTAGGATGTTTATTACTTAGACTTTAGACGGTAGGTATAGTAAAAGTGGCTTTATGATTTGCCTATAAAAGTCCACTGCTGAACATAAGTCTCACCCAAAGATTTTCTCTTAAGGGGAATTTTGCCATAGTGGCCACGGTTGGCTCGGTTTTTTAAAATTTGGATTTGTGATTCTACGTGGTAGAGCCATGCTGCATCTATATTAGTAGTATAGTTGTAGTACGAATGGGTCGGCTCGACCGGGGAAGGACCACGCTCTCACAGAATACCATCGTCAAATAGCAGCTTAACACTGCTGTGTTTCGTATAGTGAGTGTAGAGTACCGAACACCCTTTTTACTGGAAAAGAGGCATTCCATCTTAGTCCTCGGGGGTGAAAACGCATATGCATTTTGATTCGCAAACGAGGATAAATGTAGATTTCTATGGGCCACAGCAACCACTTACCATCAGGTGGACTGTGTGCTCGTTTGTCACCCTATTCTATAAAAAAAAAATGTTGTCTGGAAGATGCTTTTGTCCATCCCCTGGTTCAGTTTTCCTCTACCGCCTCTTACCACACTATTCTGACCCATTTCGTTCCGTGGGTGTCGAGAGAAGTCGACTATAGGAAAACTTCCGATCCGACCGATGACAGACGTCGCGTCTAAGGTGTGAGAGTGCGGCACATCTGGTACCACTATTGTCAATCCATTAAATAAAACTAATTTTACGGATTTTATCGCGTTAAATTTAACTTTTTAGTTCACGACGTTTCGAAAACTTTACATCAACCATGGTCACAGGGGGGACTGAAGTGCTTGACGTTCTGATGTCATAGTTGACAAAGGCTACCATCAACTTTTAAAAATTAATCTTTGGTCCGATCTACGCAGAATGAGCTTACATTATATTAAAGTCTTGCATGCGTGGGTTTGAATTTAATTTTATTAGGAATTCCAAGAAGTTGGTAACTGTTTTCTCTATTGAAATTAGGATTTGTGGTCTATCAAATCTTATGTTATGGGTTGGGACGTTCTTGTATATATTACATGTGTAATATTCACGTAAATATAAAAAAAAATCATTATCGTCAATCCACCTGCTTTACTAAGGCAAAACCTCCTGACAACGTGGGAGGTCAATATCCAGCAGTGGACTTTTATGAGCTGATGGAAAAGAAGAATTCCATCGTTAGTCAACTTTACCAAGATTAGGAAGCCATGTTAATAATTTCATCTTCTTATGCTTATTGAGTTTGCGCATTATCTGCAGGACCAGGAGCAGTCGGGAACGCACATCGATACGGAAGCGCGACCAGCCGACACGGGCGTCTTCATCATGAACGCGAAACCCGAGGACCGCGCTACCAGCTTCTTCGCGCAACCTGGTATCCTCGCAGGTATGTACCGATAAGAAAAAATGTTTTCATTAATACGAGGGCGACACTGAAAGTTTTTAGAACTGGCCACTTGTAAACGATATAATATAAATATAAGTTCTAATTTTGAAAATGGAACTTTATTATTGTGTATGTACTGGGTGTTTCCTTCCGAGGAGTTGCCAACTAAATTGAAGAGAGGTCGAAGTGTGGGAAAAAAGGTGATGGGCTCGTTCTTCGGAAGGCCAGGTCATTACGCAACAATTGTTTTAGAAGATTGAAAAACAGTTACTGCAGAGTGGTAAACTAACAATTGTTTGCCACTTGTATTGAAAAAAGTTCGGGAGAAACGACCTCGCAGTAGGATCCTCCTTCACCACAACAACGCCTCGTCGCACACCGCCAAGCAAACAATCGACTACTTGGCGACGTCAGACGTAGAATTACTGGGTCACCCGCCCTATAGCCCCGACCTCGCACCTTAAGATTTTGGTATTTTTGATTTTTACGGCTCCGTGGCGCAGTGGCTTAGCAATGAGTTGCTACGCTGGGGGCCGCGGGTTCGAATCCCGCACGGAACAAGTGTTTGTATGGCCTACAAATAATTGTTCCGGATCTGGATGTTTGTCCTTGTGCAATTTGTGTTTGTAAACTGCCTGGGGTGCTAAGAATCTCCGGTGGAGGTTCGGTTGCCACCTAAGACGTCTCGACCTGGCAACATACAACGCACGCACACTGAGGACTGACGAGAAGATCGTGGAGCTGGAAGAAGATATAGACAAGTTACAGTGGTATATTATAGGATTATCCGAGGTCCGAAGGGAGGGGGAGGACACGGTAATCTTCGAATCCGGCAACTTGTTCTATCACCGGGAGGGCGACCATCTGTCCCAAGTAGGTGTCGGATTTATCGTCCACAAGTTTCTCGTTAACAACGTTGTAAAGATTGAGAGTGTGTCGACGAGGGTTGCGTACCTTATACTCAGAATCACCAAACGGTATTCGCTGAAAGTTATACTGGTTTACGAACCAACCTCGGCACATCTCGATGAGGAGGTGGAGGAAATGTATGAGGATATCTCTAGAGTCATGCATTCCTCCAAAACCCACTATACGGTGATAATGGGAGACTTCAATGCAAAACTAGGCACAAGAGAGAACGGTGAGCTGAAAGTAGGGACTCTTTATGATGAACTCTTTCTTTCAGAAGCGGCCCCACAGGAAGTGGACCTGGTCGAGCCCCGTCGGTTCGACAAAAAATGAGATTGACTTCATTATGACGACCAGACGACAACTGTTCAGTGATGTCTCCGTGATCGCGAGGGTTAAAACTGGTAGCGATCACCGAATGGTTAGAGGCACACTGAACCTAAACGTTAAGTTGGAGAGGTCTCGTCTAATGAATTCAACGCTCCGTCTCCCTCGTGCTCTAATCCAAAGTCCCGAAATCTTTCAGCTCGAGTTACAAAACCGTTTTCAGTGCCTAGAAGGCTGCAATAAAGTGGACGATATGAATGACAAGCTCGTGGAAACTGTCCATGCGGTCGGAGCTAAGTTCTGCAAGACCCGCCGCAGAAGAACACAAAAACTCTCCGATCACACTCTTAATCTCATGGCTGTTAGACGGGAGAAGTTACATTCTTCAACAGATTTGACAGCATACAGGCATCCGTACAGACAGATCTCCAAATGCATGCGGCGGGACTTACGCAACTTCAATACAGCTTGTATTGAAGAAGCGATCGAGCGGAACCAAGGCTCCAAAGTCTTTGCCAGAGATCTGTCTGCCAGAAAGAGCCAACTGTCAAAGCTGAAGACAGAGTGTGGCAGCATCGTTTCCGAGGCACCTGAGATTTTGAGTGAGATTGAGAGGTTCTATGGGCAGTTGTACACGTCATCGTTGGAGCCACACGCAAGTGTGAGTAACGATCCAAGAGCGAGTCTTATCCGACACTATTCCGATGATATCCCGGACGTCAGTCTGAGCGAGATTAGAATGGTTCTCCAGCACCTTAAAAACGGCAAGGCCCCAGGCGAGGATGGAATTACAGCGGAGCTTCTGAAAGCGGGTGGAAAACCGGTGCTTGAAGTCCTTCAGAAGCTCTTTAATTCCGTCCTCCATGGTGGCACTACTCCGGAGGCGTGGAGCAGAAGTGCGGTGGTCTTGTTCTTCAAGAAAGGCGACAACGCTCTCTTGAAGAACTACAGACCGATTTCCCTTCTGAGCTGCGTCTACGTGCTGTTTTCGAGAGTCATTACGAATCGTCTCGCACGCAGACTGACGACTTTCAGCCTCCCGAACAAGCCGGTTTCCGAAAAGGCTTTAGTCTCATAGACCACATACATATTACATACCCTGCGGCAGATTGTACAGAAGCCTTGCCTTGCGTATGTGGACTATGAGAAATTCCGTCGAAATTTGGGCGGTGCTGCAGTCCCTTCAGCGGTGCCAAGTTGACTGTCGGTATATCGAAGTGCTGAAGTGCTTGTACAGTAGAGCTACGATGGCCTTCCGAGTACAGAATCAGAGTACGAAACCTATCCAACTGCAGAGAGGTGTAAGACAGGGTGACGTTATATCCCCGAAAGTCTTCACCGCTGCATTGGAAGACGTTTTCAAGCTACTTGATTGGAAAGGATGCGGTATTAACATCAATGGCGAGTACATCACTCACCTTCGATTTGCTGACGATATAGTCATTATGGCAGAATCGCTGGAGAACCTATGCTCAATGACCTCAATAGTGTCTTCGAACGGATAGGTCTTAAGATAAACATGGACAAAACAAAGATCGTGTTTAACGTCCATGTCCAGTAGAGGTGTACTGATAGTTGTTGGGAACACTAAGCTCGAAGTTGTTGACGAGTATGTTTGTACCTGGGACAAATAGTCCGACTAGGTAAGTCCAACTTCGACCGAGAAGTCAATCGACGGATTCAACTCGGCTGGGCAGCGTTCGGGAAACTACGACACATCTTCTCGTTGGACATACCTCAAAACCTGAAAACGAAATTGTACAACCAGTGCGTGTTTCCAGTGATGACTTACGGATCTGAGACGTGGTCCTTCACTGCTGGCTGTATGAGGAATCTCAAGGTCGCTCAGCGAGCTATGGAGAGGGCTATGCTCGGGGTTTCTCTGCGTGATAAACTTCGAAAGGAGTATATCCGCAGTAGAACCAAAGTAACCGACATAGCCCAACGGATTAGTAAGCTGAAGTGGCAGTGGGCCGGACAAATAACTCGAAGAACGGCAACTGATGGGGAAGAAAGGTTCTCGAGTGACAGCCTCGTAGGCGAAGTTTAGGGCGACCCCCCACTAGATGGAGTGACGACCTGGTAAGACATACAGGAAGTCGATGGATGCAGGTGGCTCAGGACCGTGCTTTGTGGCATTCCTTGGGGGAGGCCTATGTTCAGCAGTGGACTTATGAAAGGCTGTAATGATGATAAAACTGCCTCCACGATACAGGAGATAATTCTTTGTGGGCGTAACGTTTTTTAAAAAGAATTAAAAGAAAAGAATTTATTTATTTCCGAAAATAAAAGGAAAACTTCGAGGAAAACGTTTTATGGACGCCGAGGAAGCAGTGGCAGCGTTTCAAAATGCTGTCGAAGAGACCCCTAAGGACGAGTGGGCAAAGTGCTTTTATCAGTGGTTCCATCGGATGCAGCGATGTATTGATGTAAATGGACATTATTTTGAAAAGATATAATAAAACTAATAACTTGCTAATTTGTTCAGTTTTTGATTTTCTAAGAATTTTCAGTGTCACCCTCGTACTAGGAACAAATACCAGTAAAGCCACTTATTTGGCTCCGTAGAGTCAATATAATTTATTCATTTGGGTCTACCTTAAAATCGTTAACTTTTTGGTCAACAACTTTTGTATTTTGTGTATTCTTGACTACCCGGTCATCAACAAAATTATAAGGCTTATTCGCAAGAATTGTCCTGTCTGATGACGGCCCGGCCAAGTCCCAAAGGAGCCTGGCGCGAACATTTTGCAAGCACGGCTTACTTACAATATGTACTGCCCGGAAAGCTCAACTGCCGAAAAACCTTGACTGCATCGTTCGTGTAGAGGTTTTAAAAATCTCTGTAGCAGTCCGAAGTCAGGAAGTTGGCGGTGTTTCACACCTGTGCCTCGGAAAGCGCGGAAAGCTATTGGTCCTTCTTCTTTCCTCTCGTGTCGGATTCTCTCCGGTCGTGTCGGATTGCCGTCCCATTGACAGTATGATACGAGTGAGGGAATAGATAGTACACCTATGCTTACGCATACACTCGCGGCGCTATAATTCCTTAGATAGATAATCTTAGTTGAGACTGGTCCCTGTGACTGGAATTCGGTCTGGAGGACACTATTATGTACTTTATTATAAAGTCCTTAAATATTTTTTCATAGAATAAGGGTTACAACAACAAGCACCTAGTCCACCTGATGGTAAGTGAATACTGTGGCCCATAGCCATCTACATTTATCCTCAATTAAGAATCAAAATGCAGACACCTGAAGACTAAGATGGAATGCCTCGTTTCCAGTAAAATGGGTCTCCGGATCTCTACACTCACCATACGAAACACAGCATTAAGTTACTATTTTACGTTGGTATTCATAGAGAGCGTGGTCCTACCCCAGTCGAGCTGACCCATTCGTGCTACAACCATAATATGACTGCATCGTGGATCGTCCACGTATAAGAATATTATATTATTTTTAATAATATATAATTATATGTTATGCTAACATATTTGTATTCTTATTCCAGCTGTCATCGGTGGAGCAGTGGTAGGGCTGCTGTGTGCGATCCTGGTGGTGATGTTCATAGTGTACCGCATGCGCAAGAAGGACGAGGGCTCGTATGCGCTCGACGAGCCCAAGCGGAGCCCCGCCGCCGCCTCGTACGGGAAGGGTCACAACAACCGCGAGTTCTACGCGTGAGACGATGCAGAACAAACCATGCCACGTGTTTATTAATAGCCATAGATTAAACACGACATTCATGATTTGTGGTCACAGATTAAAATCGCTCACAGACTACAAAATATTTCAATAGAAACGCGCCATTGCACGCAATTTAGTTTCGCAACCGTGGCAAAAACTTGTTCTACGATCGTCTCCTACGAAACAATTTAATTTACGAATTAATAATTTATTTTTACATACCATTTTGGGTACAGATTGTACAATAAGCTGTACAAATCAGGTACATTCATTTGTTATATCGGGGCTTAGAAAGTATAGTGAGCGGATCAATGATTCTGAATCTAATTATGAAACTGAACTGAAGACATAGTTTTGTATCATTCGATTGTCTTGAAAGCCCAAAATCGATCGAGAGTAAATCGATTAATCTGTCTTGATGTGCGTTTACATAATTTTAACTTTGAGACCAACGTTTGTATGTTGTTGGAGTTACTCTATAGTTGAATCTGAATCAAGGATCTTATATCTGTAACATAAATGTGCCATCCGCTTTCTTTACTGTACATTGCTAATGCTGTAGAATTATACTTTTCTATAGACACGTACATTTGATTGGTCTATTGTAAGTCCATATCTATTCACTGTGTATATATACTGAGTGCGCACTATTTATGTCACCTGTCTAATCTTAAACCAATATGTGTTACAATATATCGTAAATCAGTAAGTTAAGGTGCTAGTACACTAGTGCGCTGTCAGAAAATTAATATTCATAGATATTTTGCCATTAATCGCTAATTGGACGTAGTTTAGCAGAAACAATTCAATTCTAATTAAAATCTAGAAAAAATTAAGTAATATAAGTCTGTTCCTAAGATAGTTTCTGTACATCCGGAAGCGCGTTTGGATTTTATTTTATTATTTTTAGTGTGTTTGGTAAGTAAATGTATTTCTATTCCAAAAATTTTTAAGAGAATACTATTTTACTCTTATGGTTATTGTAATAAAATACAATAATCAACACAAGTTAGGTAGCAAAGAACCTTTCACTACTGCCCTTCGTTTTAAAACGCCAAATTCTTCTGCGGGTGTAGCGACCTTTGGGTCGTTGCGTGCGTCCTATCGTGCGCATCATAATGTCGTATCTAAGCGTATATATTACTCTACTCTATGATCTAAGCGAACAGACTATACGTCAAAGCGAGAGAGAGAGAGAGGGAGAGAGAGAGAGAGAGCGAGAGAGAGGGAATAAAATAACATCAAAAATACGGCCTACTATTGGGTGCAAGCATCCTCTCATTTTTCTAAAATATTCGTAGGAGTTTGTGAACTTCAATAAAAGCTAACCTTGTAAGCAATATCAACGTATAGCCTCTAAGTATCTGTATAAATCGCGTAAAAGTGGATGCAAAGAGAGATTCTCAAACTATTTATCTTCTAAACTACGTCCAATTATGTCTGCTTTTTGAGATAGACAGCAATCCAGCACACATTCAATAGATTATAAATGTTATATTATAAATAATATATACACGATAACAGAGTATGAAAAAACATTTATTATTAAAGAATTCAAACATAATGGCTGCTGTAAAATTCACTGCGAGTGCTTCTTCACGCAGGTACAGTTATGTTGACAATAACCTTTGCTTTCTCAATGCACATCATCATTACAGCTTTTCACAAGTTCACTGCTGAACATAGGCCTCCCCCAAGGAATGCCACAAAGCACGGTCCTGAGCCACCTGCATCCATCGACTTCCTGGTGTCTTACCAGGTCGTCACTCACTCGTCTCAATGCACAATATATAGAAATGAAATCCGTTATTGGCTGAATGTTTTAATATGATCAATAAATGACCTATTATGAACGAGCTGTGGAATTTGTATTTTCTAAAAAAGCTTGTTTGTATTATTGTCTGCATCTGCACTAATACCTTAATGTTTTTATTCTTATTTTCATTACATAGCTAGAGCCTAAATGTTTTTTATTTAAAAAATCGAGAGTAACGAACGATCAACAAAAAAATATAAATAAATAAATAACAAAAATATTAACAAACAATAGTAACTATGAACTCAACTGTACTTGAGCAAAGGCGTGAGAAAACGTGTGCAGCAAAATTTGCGCAGCGCCTAGCGACTACTTCACAGCAGCCATTAATGTCCAAATACTCAAACGCTGCTCCATTTTAAGATGCTGTTGAGTCTCGTTCTGTCTCTATCACTTTAAATCAAAGCGACTGCGACACCACGAGACCCAACGACATCTTAAAATTGAGTAACATTTGAATATTTGGCCTTATTTTAAATAGCCAGGATAGATCGCACTCTACCTTATTAAGCCTTAACTCCTTCTGTATCATTTTACACGCACAGGAACAACTGCTACTTTTGTTTTTGTAATTTACGTTTAAAAAAGTCTAATGAACTCGATTAATAAATACTAGAATATATTTATTAATGTATTAATGTATTGGGCAACAATTAAATTAATTCACATTGTATGGTAACATACCTTATCATTGTTATTTTTTTCTTTTTTACAATTGGTAGTTAAAGATTTGTCAAGTAAAAGTTATAGATCACTTTTACATAAACTAAAATGCAAATATATGTGTTTATTGCTCACCTCGAACGCGAACGACTGTCGACTTGATAAGGTAACGCTACCCGCTCTCGTTATATCTCGTTTGTTATTTCTATACCGCACTAATACGCGAAGAAAAGCACGTTGATATTAAGAGGTAAATATTAATGAGTAAAACTAATGCTTTGTTGGTTCATTGCACTACTACACTACTATTACTATTTAAGTTAGTATGTGAAACAGAAATAGAGATTACATTGGAGCAGCTACTATTAAAGTCCAAATAAGAATATGAAATAGAATTATAATTACGTACATATTGTGTAAATGCTTTATTTCAAAAGTTCTTAGGCCGAATCACGCATCTGAATGTATGTAATATTTAAAAAGTTTTTTATGTGCCTATTTTTTTTATTTATCCTAACATATTTGGGGGATTAATATAGTGTTAACACACATAATTATTGTTTTTCATATAACTACTTCTAGTTATATTCGAAATCATCTAATGTTAGGCACTAATTTTAAACATTAGATTTGTAATTAATACCGTATGGTATAGTTTTAAGTTAGTTTTATTCTAATCTCGTCATTTTTATTCAATTATATTTGTAATATTTCTTTCTGTAGGTTGTGCAACGAAACGAACATACATTTAACTAATTTATGTTTTTTTCTTGTGTAAACAAACTTTTGTGCCATTTTCAGCGTTTAATGTTATTTAATGTTTTGTTTTATTTTACATGCTCAACTCTACAGTTTTAAGTTTTTCAGCTACTGACATTTGATATTGTTTAATTTGAATAAATAATTAAATTGTTTGAAGATTTTTTTGTGTGTTGGTTACACATTACCATCATGTTTATGTATGTATGTCATTATATGTATCATTTTATGGTTAACTATTAATGTATTTATAAATATTGATAATATATCGATGCAGCTATCGAATACAAAAACTTAGATTTAAATGTAGTGTAATCTAAGCGGGAAACTGTCAAGATTCAGTTTTTATAAATGAACATTTATGAGCAGGCAGTTGACGCTTGCTGTTAAAATAAAAAAATCTTGTTCAGTATAAATTAAAACATTTGAGTAACAAAAACACTTATGATTGCGATTATTTTTTATCTATAATAAATAAAACTCAAAAAGTTAAACATTCCGATCGGATCCATAGAAGTACACTATTTGTTATAGCGAAATTTCTTACTAACGAACTTAATACCCGACCTATAAAATAACTAAAAAGTACAGTCTAATACAAAAAACTAAAACACACATGTTTGTTAGTAAGTAAACGCGCTGTAACGATCGAGTTCAACGCTCACTTAGTATAAGGTCTGTACATTGTTACTGTAAATTCTTTTAGTACTAAAACCTAATAAGTTATATGTACGTAATGTAGTAATATTTTGTAACCAAAAATAATCAAAGAAAACTTCTTACGCATATAATAACAGTTCTTTTTTATTCTAACAATGGCTTATTAATAAAACTATATTTATTTATTATTCAAGTTATTATTTGGCAGTTTTTAAATATATTTCTTAGCTTAATATATTTAGCTTCATTACAACCATCGAAACAGTCATAGGTGTTAATAAAACGTTTAACATTTTAAGGTATAAATTTACGAACCCTTTGAAATAAATAAGCAATTATCATGGATTTCAATCCATTCAATTATATTAACCTCATTTGGCAGCTTTATACATAATACCAATGCATAGCCTGCACTTAAGGGAGACGAAGAATTCCATCGTATTTATCACAACGGTGTCACAAATGTACGAAACTTTTGCAGGTACTTTATTATTTAAACATATTAATTTATGAATGTCATAAATTAATATGCTAAGCGTTGTAACTTGATATAAAAAGTCATTTGTAAACACATTTTAAGTCTATATAAATCGGAAACTGTGTCCGTAAATATATATCGACTCAGCTATCTAATGCATGAAATTAATCGAAGAGTTGTGTTGCAGGCTGTATGTTTTAATTTTTGAAGTGAAATGAATTGCGGGGCTTATTTCATCATTTCCTAGAACTGTCCATGAATTTATACACGATTCCTATCAAGAGCACAAAATTAAACTTGACTGCTATTTTATGACTCTAATAATATTTTTATTCATACATATCTGTAAAGTATAAAAATAGCTAATAAATTCAGCTCTATCTCAAGTTACATAAGACTGTTTTTTTTTTAATTGTTTTTTTAGTGTTTACAAGTAAAAGATTATGGTTGTTAAATTGAATCTTTTATTTTAATTAAAATTAACTTTACGGACATTTTGTTCAATTTGATTCTTAATGTAGATAAAAGTCGACCACTGAAACAGATTTTTTTTTAATTAAAATTTATCCAAAATACATATTACACATATCATTTGTTTTAGTGTTTTCATTTTGAAATACT